GGAAGTATGCCGATGAGTCTTTTAGTCTCAAGACAACACTCCTAATTATTTGTGCTACACAGCAAGTGTCTTAGGCGAGTGTGGGACAAGCACCACCCTCAGCAGCGAGGCTTATACACCGCCCACCTCAGCATAGGATAAGACTTTGAGCCTTATAATACTGGCCATCTTGCCAGACTCAAATTCTTTTTTTCTCTACACTTGTTTAACAATTATAATCTCGGGAGAACTAGAGATAAAATAAAAACAAAGGCGGATCACAGCACGCAAACGCACACGCACACGCACACACACACACACACACACACACACACACACACACACACACACACACACACACACACACACAGATTGTTTCATCAGTGAATATGATGATCAGTAGGAGGGTCGGAAGTCACTGTATAAGACGGGTAAGGCGAGGCTCAGGAACTAGCTCTCAACCCCCAACACAACATGGCTCAGAGCGGTGAGGCAACAGGAGAAAGTCAACACAAGGGACAGGAAGACATGTGTGAGGGAACAGGAATAACAAGAACACAGAAGACGAAGAATAATATCACCAGAAAGAGAAAAGGGAAGTCACAGAGAGAGAGAGAGAGAGAGAGAGAGAGAGAGAGAGAGAGAGAGAGAGAGAGAGAGAGAGAGAGAGAGAGAGAGAGAGAGAGAGAGAGAGAGAGAGAGAGAGAGAGAGAGACAGAGACAGAGAGAGGAAGATGATAATGAACAAAGTGGAGGAAAACTAGTATGAACAGGAGAGAGTAAGAGAAGGATACACAAAGAGGGAAGAAAGAGAGGACCGGTATACATACAACACCCAGTATACATACCCCACCCCAGTATACATTTGGGTGCCTGAACGAGGGAACACGAGCGGTGATGGTGAGTGTGGTGATGGTGGTGGTGAGTGTGGTGGTGAGTGTGGTGGTGAGTGTGGTGGTGAGTGTGGTGGTGAGTGTGGTGGTGAGTGTGATGGTGAGTGTGGTGGTGGTGTCCTCCTCACCAACCCTAAAACATCTTCCTTAATATCAATAATTACACCTTCGTGCACGATAGCAATGTTATCCTCATTACGGTCTTCGGAAAACTTTACCTTTCGTTATCAGCTTCAAACTTTGGGGCTCACTACCAGCTTCAAACTTGTACCAATACCAATAAGAGACTGAATAGATGCGACAAGCCACAGTCTGGTTGATCAGATCATGAAGATGAAGGCCTACCTAGAGATTGATCTCAAGAATTAACTCAAAGTAGTACAAAAAGAAGGTAACAGTAAAGGAAACGGTAATTTTTTTCTTTACAAATAGTGAATGTGAGAGAGAGAGAGAGAGAGAGAGAGAGAGAGAGAGAGAGAGAGAGAGAGAGAGAGAGAGAGAGAGAGAGAGAGGGAGAGAGGGAGAGGGACGGACCCCTTCGCTCCCCTTCACAATTTTCTCGTAATTGGAGATCAATAACGACCCTATTCAGTCAAGCTAAATACCTGTACCTTTTTTATAGTAGAGAGAGCACGATAATGAGGTCCCCCTTACCCCCCCTCCCCCCCCACACACACACAGGTCCTCGCAGCCGAGTGCACAGCACTCTGGGGTCGTAGTCCTAAGGGCTCGGGTTCGATTCCGGTCGAAGGGGGAAGGGACTATCAAGAGACAGCGCCAAGCCATTACGACTATATAGCACTTGGAAGGGGTCAGGATAAGGATTTGGGGGATGGGACGGGGGGGGGGGGGGGAAAAGATGTCCAATCACTTGGATGGTCGGGGGATTGAACGCCAACCTGCATGAAGCGAGACCGTCGCTCTACCGTCCAGCCCAAGTGGTTGAGTTCGATTCCGGTCGAGGCAGAAACAAATGGGCACAGTTTCATATGATGATCTGTTCACCTGCTGCACTCCCAGCAGACGAGGTCCTGCTGTGCCATCACCGTGAAGCACCACCAGCAGACGAGGGGAGTCGGAATGACTGAGGACGAGGACAGGACAAGGACAGGACTGAGGACAACGCGACCGGACAAGATACACACTCAACCTGGATACTATTGGAGGCCGCTGAGACCCTTGGGCATAACTCTGGCCATAATCTTCAACGCGTCATTAGAGAGGAGTGAACTGCCAGACTGTCGGAGGACAGCCAATGTTGTAAATGAACAAATCCACCAGGGCCGTGACGAGGGTTCGAACCTACGTCCGAAAGGATCCCCAGACGCTGCCTTAATCGACTGAGCTACGACAGTGGGTTACTACGTCGTAGCTCAGTCGTAGCTTCCCATTCATTATGTAACATACGATTTTAAAAATATACACATTCATATATCATTAGGAGTGAATGCGGGGTCTTAGGCCGAGTGACAGGAATATACAGCGCCACCAGCCAGTCCCATAAGAGAGTAATTAGCAGTTAGGAAGCCTCCCACCAGGGGATTATGAGTTAACATTCACAATGTGAGTGAATTAATGAGTGAAAGGTGGGTTGTGTTGGTGGTGGAGGCAGGTGGTCCAGTCGCTGAGACAGGTGGTCCAGTCGCTGAGACAGGTGGTACTGGCACTGAGACAGGTGGTACAGGCGCTGAGACAGGTGGTACAGGCGCTGAGACAGGTGGTACAGGCGCTGAGACAGGTGGTCCAGTCGCTGAGACAGGTGGTACAGGCGCTGAGACAGGTGGTACAGGCGCTGAGACAGGTGGTCCAGTCGCTGAGACAGGTGGTCCAGTCGCTGAGACAGGTGGTCCAGTCGCTGAGACAGGTGGTACTGGCGCTGAGACAGGTGGTGAGGCGGGTTGGTTGGGCGCGTGCATTTCTGCATTATGGTAGCACCTTGTATTGTGTACGTTGTGGCGAATGAAGCGAAGGGAGCGAGCCGAGAGAAGAGAAGAAGCCAGAGGTGTGGCGGCCAGGAGTGGAGGTGCCACACACACCCTGAGAGGCAGCCACACCCTGGGGTGGTGTGGCTCTCATGACCTGAAGAGCTGGACGTGGATCTCCCAACACACACACACACACACACACACACACACACACACACACACACACACACACACACACACACACACACACACACACACACACACACAGGGGTGGCTTTACCGGGATACACACAGTAGGGAAGAATTGTAGTGAACAGGTAAACAATCAAACTGCAAGAGTGAGGAGAGCGCAGTATGATGGTAGACCGGTGGAGAGTGTGAGAGTGTGTGAGGGAGGAGGGCACAGTGAGAGTGAGGGAGTGTGTGAGGGAGGAGGGCACAGTGAGAGTGAGGGAGTGTGTGAGGGAGGAGGGCACAGTGAGAGTGAGGGGAGGACACAGTGAGAGTGAGGGGAGAGTGTGAGGCACAACAGTACGGGAGGCGCTCGACTGGAAGGTGGATGTAAATATGGCTGTATCATGGATGTAAAAGGTTGGCAACCTCACCAGGTGGCGCCCGCCAGGGACACCAGCCACGGAGCCCCTCCCAGGGACACCAGCCAGGGGCACCAGCCACGGAGCCCCTCCCAGGGGCACCAGCCAGGGGCACCAGCGGAGCCCCTCCCAGGGACACCCGCCAGGGACACCAGCCACGGAGCCTCTCCCAGGGGCACCAGCCAGGGGCACCAGCCACGGAGCCTCTCCCAGGGGCACCAGCCAGGGGCACCAGCCACGGAGCCCTCCCAGGGACACCCGCCAGGGGCACCAGCCACGGAGCCTCTCCCAGGGGCACCAGCCAGGGGCACCAGCCACGGAGCCCCTCCCAGGGACACCCGCCAGGGGCACCAGCCACGGAGCCTCTCCCAGGGGCACCAGCCACGGAGCCCCTCCCAGGGGCACCAGCCAGGGACACTAGCCAGGCCGGCTGGCGTCCCTGGCTGTTGTCTGCTTTAGTTACTATGGTAATAAATCTTTGCAATATTCATATCACTGCAAGAGACACGTCATTCACTTGTAAATTGAGGAATTAACTGGACGGCAGATTTATTCGGCCTCATTGCAATTCAAATGATTTCGTGTTGCTCTTGGGAACAGTTCCGGTCCACTCCGCTACACCCCCCCCCCCCTCTGTGACCAGCTCCCCCACACTCCATCCCCTCCTCCACCCCCGGGGTCAAGCTCCCCACTGTCATTCTCCTCCCCGTGCCAGCCCCCCCATACCCCTTTCCCACGTGTCCAGCTCCCCCTCCCCTCCCCCGTCCCCAACAACAACACCTGAAGCTCACTTGACGGTGTAAGGTGGTGATAGTGTGGAGTGGTCCAGTGGTCCACCAGGCTGTGGTGGAGTGTGTCGAGGGGTAATATTGTGTCACTCACGCTCCAAGTGTGTGTCAAGAGCCTCCAGAAGCTCCTGTGGTGTCACTCACTGGTAAAGATCCACGCGGCACTCGAGTCTATCCAACAGGATGTCTGTGAGAGTGAAGTCTCATCACTCTTAAATGCCTGTCAATGTGGCTAGGTTGGGTTTGCCGTTAGGACACAGGCAGATGGCGCGAGGACACAGCGAGGACACAGCGAGGACACAGCGAGGAGAGCCACACAGCTGTCTGTCATTTGCTGGCGTCCGGTACATAAACTACACATGAGCCAAACATATTGTGCTTATTCCGTAACCTTGCCAGGCGGTGTTGCCAAGACCAGCTCCCGCTGCGTAGCATACATACTCTAACCTCTGTATCCGGACAATAATACACACATCCGGACAATAATACACACATCCGGACAATAATACACACATCCGGACAATAATATATCACATCCGGACAATAATACACACATCCGGACAATAATATATCACATCCGGACAATAATACACACATCCGGACAATAATACACACATCCGGACAATAATATATCACATCCGGACAATAATACATCACATCCGGACAATAATACACACATCCGGACAATAATACACACATCCGGACAATAATATATCACATCCGGACAATAATATATCACATCCGGACAATAAATCACACAACAACTTTTATCTGACATCGGAGAAAATGATTGCTTCCTGAGACCAGTTGGTAACCCCTTACCTGTTCTCTGAGAGGCTCTGTAGCCCCGCCCACTGTTTCTGACGTCACACTCCTCGTCGCTGGACGAGTATTGGTTGCCTGAGGAGTTCGTGCCGCCTGATTGATTGCTACTCCGCCAATCAGAACGCGGGCCTCGCCTACTACTACTGCGATTGGCCCCCGACCTTGCGCGGCCTTCGGATTCCATCTCATCGGTTAACAGTCATCTGCAGGGTAAATAAATGAATATATATTAACACGTGAATCCTACAGCAGAAGAGCAAACTTGGAAAGACTGGTGTTAACAACACGACTGTTAAGTCATTGTTAACTGTTAAGATTAATGACATCAGCGGAGAGAGATTTATACACTAGCGGCTAGTTGTATTATCCACTCAACATTAATACAATACTTGTGAAGGAGGGAGGGAAATGAGGATGGGTAGGGGGGGGTGGGGGTTAGGATATAAATGGCCGACCTCTCACCGCCTTCAAAAAAGAACTTGATTAACGTCTCCAAAGACTACTCGATCAACCTGGCTGTGCGAGCAAAGGCGTCTAACAGCCTGGTTAACCACACCACCAACCATGGGAGGAACGTGGGGATGGAGGGGAGGGGGGGGGAGGGGGAGGTGGCATTTTGCTCCCTATCAAAAGACACTGATGGGTTTTATTTGATTATTGTAGCATTGTCGAGCTCTTGCTAGACAATGTAAGAATACATTGTTAGAGAAATTAGAATTCTTGTCACTCTAGCATCACCCTCACTCTAGCACCACCCTCACTCTAGCATCACCCTCACTCTAGCACCACCCTCACTCTAGCATCACCCTCACTCTAGCACCACCCTCACTCTAGCATCACCCTCACTCTAGCATCACCCTCACTCTAGCATCACCCTCACTCTAGCACCACCCTCACTCTAGCATCACCCTCACTCTAGCATCACCCTCACTCTAGCACCACCTGCAAACCCTCAATCCAACAATGCCACACCTTCATAAATATAAATTCTCAGTTTAGTACAATATGCGAAATTTAAGAAAGACTGCAATTCCATTTCTGAACCGGTTCAGGGAGAAGGTATAACGATACAAGCCATTGGCAGTGAGTTGTCTTGAAGTGTGATGGCCGGATACCCTCCCGTTAACCGGAAAAGGTTTGTATATTTATGGTGTTAATACATGCGGACCTAAACTAACCCTCCCAGACCTAATACACAATTACGGGCTCACCATAGCCCGTGCTACTTGGAACATTTTGTTCCAAGTAGCGATTCTTTAACAACAACAACAACCTAATACACGCTATCTGAGGGCTAATACTGTACATATATATATATATATATATATATATATATATATATATATATATATATATATATATATATATATATATATATATATATATATATGTGCTGTCTGGTACCATACTACTTGTGTAAAGGAGGAAATGTATATGTTTATCTCTCAGAATGTTTGGTAATATGTTTATTGTTTGTGATGTGTGTCTATGTATGTATTAACACGATGTACTGAACGGGGTGAGAATAGCTTGAGCTACCTCATCCCTTTGTGTGTATTTTACCTCAATAATCTTATTTCAATTTCAATTATATATGTGCTATATTAGGCCTAGGAATATTTAGGTTTTGGGGTTTAGCTTTTATTTTTTACTCAAACTTTATAAAAAACTACAAAACGTGACTTACTTACTAAGGTCAAATATATATTGGTACTATCAACCACACACTGTTACTCTGTAATAGTGGACACTGTAGCACGGTACCCAACGGTGTGCCAACGGTGTGCCAACGGTGCCAGTAGAGCAGCCGTGACACAGTGTGCGGGCGCGCGTGAGCTCCACCTCCCATATATATATATATATATATATAAACATACGAATGAAAATATGAGATCATTTCTAGGAAGGAACATTCAAGAGTACACACAAAGGACACTTATTATATAAGATAAATTAGTTAATATGAACCACCCGCAGTCCCCCTCGCCCCACCCCCTCCCCCCCTCCCATCACCCCCCCCCGCACTCCTCCCCCCACAAAATCACACTCTCCCCACACATTAACCTCCCCCCGTCACCCCCTTCCCAGTCACGTGCGTTGCTTCAGTATAATATATTCTTTGGGGGCATCCCATCTGCACGCCATATACCCCCCCGGGTATAACCCCCCCCTAGGTATAACGTATTATATACATTCACATCTATCTCACCATGGTCATCATCATGCAGCCTCGTCACCATCACCACCGGGGAGCCAGGGGTCAGGGGGAGCCAGGGATCAGGGGGAGCCAGGGGGAGCCAGGGGGAGCCAGGGGGAGCCAGGGGAGCCAGGGGGAGCCAGGGGGAGCTAGTGGAAGCCAGGGGGAGCCAGGGGAAGCCAGGGGGAGCCAGGGGAAGCCAGGGGAAGCCAGGGGGGGACACATTATACATGCAGCCCGGGGAGGCGGGGAGCGAAGTGCTCTGATTATAAAGCCAAAATATGGTGAACATAAAGCCATAAACAGGGCGGCCAGCACAATGCTGCGCCGGAGACAAATTACAGTGATTACCAGGAGGAACGACGTGGCGCGTCGGAGCGTCAATAGTGCCGTCACGACGCACGACCCGGGCGGTGCCGGCCCCAGCCCCCCCACAAGCACCCACCAGTGCTAATGAGGAGAGCACCTCCACTCCTGCTCAGGGAGACTGAGCCCTAACTGTGAACTGTGACCAGCGGACGTGTACCCCCTAGACTTATACCGGTATATTGTCTGTGGTGGTGCAAGGGTATATACCCTATACAGCAGTGTGTGGAGTGGAGGCGCCATGAGGGAGGGAGGGAGGCCATTGGAGGCTCCAGGAGGGAGGGAGGGAGGCTACTGGAGGCGCCAGGAGGGAGGGAGAGAGGGAGAGAGGGAGAGGGAGGCCCCACTCATCAAACTAACACCTCCCACACCACTCCGCCACCTGCTACCATCTCATTAAAGTAAAAGCCATAACAAAATTCTTAGGTGACACGTGCGGCCGCTGCGGTGAGGGAGGGGGGGTGAGGTGGTGGTGATGGTGGTTGTGGTGGGTGGTGGTGGTGATGGTGGTGGTGGTGGTGGTGGGGGGTGGTGATGGTGGTTGTGGTGGTGGTTGTGGGTGGAGAGGTGGTGGTGGTGGTGGTGGTTGTGGGGGGAGAGGTGGCGATGGTGGGGGTTGAGGTGAGGGGGGGGAGACTGAAGTCTATAGTGGCTCTTCATAGCCTGCCAGCCTTGTTCCTGCTGCGTTACAATTGAACTATTCTGACGTTCAGATTCTTTGTCGAATCTGGCCATAAAGTTGTGGGTGGAGGTGGCTTCTACAACTTCTTCTTTCAGTGCACTCCACCTGTTGACTACCGTTTCAGGGTACGAGCGTTTTCTTACACTCTCTTTGGCTCATTTGCGTTTCCAGCTTTCATCTGTATCTCCTTGTCCTGCTCAATCTCAAGATGTTGTTATTGTCTGTCTTATCTATTCCCTCTATCTTGTATGTTGTTATCTGTTGCACTCTGTAAGGCTCGGTGGACCTGACAGGAGCTTCTAATCCCCTTATTGCCTTCTTCCCTCAACTGCTAGTTACAGGATTAATTAAAACACTAATTCATGAAAGGTGACCCACCAGTTTCCTTGGGAGAATGGAACCAAAAACAATATATCAAATCAAAGGAACATGAACCGACACGTTATCACTGATCAAATATCATCCACATCACTGAGTTACAATGTACAGTAATATAACACTGGTAATCAACTCATTCACTGTTAAACCACACATTAAAATGTTCATACTTATAATACCAAGCAAAACAATAATCTTATTGACTTGGAGCAGCTGACACTACACAACCCGTCTCTACACAACTGCACTGGCGGAGTCGCTCCCAGACTGACTAAGAAAGGCTACACAACGTCGCCAACCTTCCCTATTCTAAAGACAATCTTCAATTAATCTCTCCTGGCAAACCCTGCCATACAACGACAGACGATGGGGAGACGACGACGACGTTTCGGTCCGTCGTGGACCATTATCGTGTCGATTGTGTTTATCAATCAACTTCTTGAGGTTATCTTGAGATGATTTCGGGGCTTTAGTGTCCCCGCGGCCCGGTCCTCGACCAGGCCTCCACCCCCAGGAAGCAGCCCGTGACAGCTGACTAACACCCAGGTACCTATTTTACTGCTAGGTAACAGGGGCATAGGGTGAAAGAAACTCTGCCCATTGTTTCTCGCCGGCGCCTGGGATCGAACCCAGGACCACAGGATCACAAGTCCAGCGTGCTGTCCGCTCGGCCGACCGGCTCCCTTGATAATGGTTCAAAACGGATCGAAACGTCGTCGTCTCCTCGTCTATCTGGGGGTCCTGGTCCTGTCATACACTTATTAAATGAGAACTAAATGCATTAAATATCAGTAGAAACAATATGGTGTTACAATAATACTTTTTGCCAAAATAATATAAATTGTAAAACTCGCTCCAGTTTTAGAATTTATGTAAAAAAAAAAGGTCGGATTACATGTGGCTCTCCAAGGCAGGTCAGCCTCCTGGGACCGTGTCACTGGTCATCACTCGTGAGCATATAATACAATGGATTTATGAATACAACATATATCCAATACAACATATACCCAATACAATGACACGCCACAACATAATATAACTGAAGGTAATATATAAGGGAATATAATCTAACTCCATGATATTAATAACCATTAATACGAAACCAAGTTAATTCAATATAATTAAGAACATAAGTTGTCTTAATTGAATTGTTAGGAACTAGGTTAATACCTGGGTCATAACATTATCATATCCCACCTGTTCCTTCTATCCTCTAGGAATAGGAGATTTAGTTTCATTAGTCTATCCTCTTACCTCTGGCATCCGTCTTGCTGCAAACATTTTTTCATGATTTAGGTTTATGCTTCAGAAGGTGCGGATTCCATGCCGGATTTTGGTTTCTAAATGATGATCTTATATATATACCAGCGTCCCATATGCTGCCGATGTTACCCTGTTTATGTGTGCCTCCAGTGAAGGTGTTGGAACTACTGTCTAACTTCACCAAGAAATCTCTCTTTTCGATTTCTGTAACTGCCTTTCGCTTGTGGTGTAGATGCCTTCTGGTCTCTTCTATCCTTTTTCCATCTCCGTTACCTTACACTTGTCGGCACTGAATTCCAGCAACCATTTATTTGACC